GACCTGCCGTGGGGATGAATATCTAGGGTAAACGCGACGGGTGAGTTGATAACTCAGAGCACGTACCAGGTGAGACGGACTCCAATGTTAATGCCACGGTAGATGACGTAGGCAGCCTTCTTAACGTGTTTTTTCCTGGTGGGGGTACTGTGGTGCACGACATGTACATGGGATCGGGGGGCACCTTGAGTGGCGGAGCCGGCAACAGACCTGAAGGAGGAAATGTCAAACGATGCGGTAGAGATTCTTAAAGAAAAAGAAACCAATGACGAGTGTATCCATCTTGTGTTGGGGATTGGTAGCGATAGACTGTGTTGGTCGACGGAGAATCAGAGCTTGATGCCGTGGTAAGGTGCAGGGTCCGGCGGTTAGGAGGGGTGTGCCGCGGAAGGGAAGCATACGGTGGAGGCGAAGGGGTAGTACGGGGAGTATGCGGAGGCCGTGATGTTTCTGGCCTTTCGGGATCTCGAATGGCAAGAGCGCCGAGAAGACCGACGAGAGTAGCGTTGTCGGCGTCCTCTGTCTCTGAGTCGGGGGCGTGGGTGGTCATTAGAGGTCTGGATGGGAGCTGACGGGAGTGTGCGTGAATCGTGAAAAAAAAAAGATTGTCAAACGATAAGGGTACTTGGATATCAGATGAGAAGACAATATTAATCAGAAGGTAACCGGCAACATACGCGAGCGATGGGTCCGCGTGTTATGAGGAAGTGTGGGCAGTACTAGTGTGACTTCGGGCCAGAATGCAAGGTGTGCGTAGCGTCGACAGAGATTGGGGGCTTGGAAATCATGCTGAGGTTACGCTGTTCAAGGCATGGAAAAAGGGAGATGAAAGCGCTTGGTTTCGAAAAGAGATACTTGGGGAAAGGCGGAAGGGTAAGACACAGGCGATGAATCTGCTGCGGTGGATCGGTGATGGCAGGAGGCAAAAGGAAGCCATCACGAAGAAGTTCGAAAAGGACGGTCCCCTTTTAGATGTGATCCGAGACGATCTCAGAACCTGTGGCAGTGAGGGCCTAATTTGGCGAATTTGGCGGAATCAACATGCATTTACACAGGCACTAAGAACGACGCGAGCTACATGGAGAATAAACTACGCGACGGTTAACTACGCGACAGCCACATTGAAACCTGTTGAACCTTTTTGGGGATATAAGATTGGTTGATCAGATCGATGGAACAAAAGAACTCACTAGGGAAGCACGGCGACGAGGCGGTATTGGAGCAGCTCGTTGAAGGCTGCAACGGCGAGGGCCTGGGTCTTGTACGCCTTCATGGCGCTGTTGGAAACGCCGGTGACGGACGCGAGTGCGAGGGCGTGACTGAGGTGCACACCGACAACGTGGCCCTTGGTGATGCAGTACCAGAGGGCCTCCTCGTCGCCGTCGGGCTCGTGCCCGATGGGCAGGAGCGGTCCGGTGGGGACGACGACATAGAGGGAGCCGACAACCCAGGGCCCATGTGTGAGGAACCCTCCCTGTTGAACAGGGGGTGGAGCTGGGGCAGTTGCCGGCGTGGGGGAACCTAAAAATTGATGAGATGGGCAAGCAGATATCAGGACATGTGCTGCTTGCTAACCTTGGGTGAGCGCATCAAGCGCGGCCTTGAGCATTTGCAGAGCATCGGGGACCTGCGCTGCAGCAGCAGTGGCGGGAACAACAGGTGCAGGCTGGGTAGCTGGGCGAAATAGACAGGTTAGTTTCCAACAGAAGGGGTTGCACTGTACGCACCCGCAGTGAGCGAGGCGACGGCAGCGTTGAGCAGTTGGAGAGCAGCGACGATGGCTGGAATATATTAAGTGGAGAGTGTGTGCGATGCACTGAGGACTTACTGTCGCTGCTCGGGGTCGCTCCCGGGACAGAGGCTGTTCCAGAAGAGACGGCGAAGGAAGTCATTGTGGTGGGCAAGTGAAGTGGGTGGGAGAAGGAAAACGACGAGGGCCGGTATTTTATACTTGGCGTTTGAATCTCCGCATGATGAGTGCACCGGGGATAATGGGTGCGATATCTGGGAGATCTGGCGACTAGTGGGTGGAGATCTGGGCATGTGTGATGAGAAATCGTAAGAACGCAAATAAACAAAGAAAAGGGAAGAAAAGGGCCCTGCCTCCTCTCATCTCCTGTCATACCATCAGAGAACTCACTCACACGGGTAAATTCGAGAACTTTGAGCGTGAGTCCAGGCTTTGTCGTGGCAAAAAGGTGCTGACTGGCACGCATCACAGAAAATATGGCCAAAAGGAAAAGAGAGAGGAAGCGTGTCCGAAGGGAGGACCGGAGGAACTTGTGTTTGTGGGCTGAGGGCGTGCGCGAGGATATATTGAGACCTCATCTGGATGCATATGCTGCGGCGATGGATGAGGGGCGGCGCGAGGAGCGGAAATATCTCAAAAAGGTCTGTAGAGAGTTTCATGCGCGCGTCCCGTGGACGACGGCGGACCATGAGGAGCCGGTGCTCCGCGAATACGACCTCTCCCAGCCTGTGCCGGCACAGGAGTTGAGCGAGGAGGAAGAGGTGAGGCAGCGGACACGGATGAAGGAACTCGACACGGTGAGTCACATTGTGACATTCTGTGACCCGCCATCAGGCGCCTCATTGCATCACCACAGCGCATTCGTCGATGGTTTACTTACCGCATCCGTCGGCTGCGCAAACATCGACGTACTTCTGTTCTTGACCCTACGAAAGATCCATACGCTGTTCTGCTCGCGAAGCTTTCCGGCTTATCTGCTCCGCCCAAGGCAAGACAGGCTTTCCAGCAAATGATGCACGAGTCGTACGCAACGAGGGTCGCGCCGGTAGTGGCGGAGCGGTGGGAGCAGGAGCGGGGGGGTGAGAGCTCGAACAAGGCGCCCAAAGTTGGGTTTGCATCCAAGGTTGCCCGTGAGGTCTTTGCCGCGCTGCCGAAAGTGGAACGAGATGAGTTTGGACAGAAGGCGAAAGAAGAGTCCCAGGAGGCGAAAGCTGCCTATGTGAAAGCTCTGAACGAGCCGCCATCCACAGCACCTCAGGCCCGCCAGCAGTAAGTCCCTTGGGCTGATTCTTTCAAAAAAAAAAAGCCTTGACGCGACGACGATAGATGCATTGACGCTGTGGGCGAGTTTATGGCGCCGATTTTAGCTGGGGTTCAAGCCGGAACGGGCCTTCACTGTATGTTGATGCTCGGCGGGCCGATGCCGAAGTACGGGGGCGAGCTGAAGACTGTCACGTAAGTACTAAATAACAAGAAATGAGGTGTGGATGCTTACCATGTGGACAGTGTCTCTATGGGCCGGAATCGCACACATGGAGCTCAGGTTTTCGCTCACTGGGACAGGAAACGATTCACGGAGAAGGTCTCGAACTTCATGATCGAGTATTTGCACACCGCGTTCAGTACGTCTGTAATTCAAATAGCGATGCGGCGAAAATCTGACCGGCCATAGCCCAAGAAGATTGTGAGAAGGCAGCTCTGACAGGCACCACAGCCGACCTGGACGCTGCAAAATTCACCATCGACGACCACGACGGCGAAGGATCGGGAGACGACTCCTCATCCTCAGATTCAAGTGATTCCGACTCGGATTCGGAGTCGGAGGCGGATTCGGAGCTCGACGAGCCACAGCAGAAGAAAAGCAAGAAGAAAAAGAAGGCCGAGAAGGCGGGCGAGTCGGACTCGGAGCTCGACGCTGCCCCTCCTCGGAAGAAGCAGAAGTCCACGGCGGGAACCCAGGGCAAGGACGTCGTCATCTACACTGACGGGCTTACATACGATCAGTTCCGTGAGTGCAACATGGCCGAGATGAAGTCGAAACTGGCGGCGCTTGACAAGGAGCACGGTTACACCCAGGTGCTGGACGAGCTTGAAGCATCGCGCAAACAACAACCTCGACCGCGAAAACGCCAGAAACCAGCAGAGGGGCGCACTCGGCAGTCGGCGAGGCAGGCAACAACACGAGTGGGTCCTTTAAACTTGGCGCCAAGCTCTGCGGTGCACTTAGCGACACGGAGCGGAGTGGAGGAAACAAGCGCAACGTCCGGAGCTCTGACCGCGCCAGTGTCGAGGGCGAGCTCACCATCTGCCTCAGTGAGCACGGCGGCTGCCTTAGCCTCGGGAGTGTCGGGCCTGGCGCCAAGTACATCATCGAGCCCGGAAATGGACGGCCGCGAAGCGCGTCAAGCAACTCCTGCGGATTCGGCACCCCAATTATTAACAACATCCGCGTCGCCATCCGTAACTGCGTCGACATGTGGTGCGTCAGCGCTGGCTGCACTTGCGCCAAATGTGGCGACTTCAACCTCCGCGCCAGCAGCGTCTGGCATGCCAAGGTCTTCGCTTGTGCCGTGCCCTGCCAAGGCAGCGCCGTGGTTTGTTGATGCGCGGATGGCAATCACACAGGTCGATCTGGGTTGTCATTATGACGCGCTCATTGCCGCTTGGACGCGCGTGGAGGCCGCTTCACAGTTTGAGAAGGGCCCCACAAATCTCAAGACGAAGAATCGCCCAACGGAGGTGGGGACTTGGGTTGCGGGAGGGCGCAAACTGGACCTTCCGGAAATCGGTATCGCTGATTGCCGAAGGTACAACGCGCAGTGGACCGCGTGGTGGGATTCTCTGCAACCGGCTTGGCGCACGAAGGGGGAAGACCAGAAGTGGGTCGTTGGTGGCCCGTACGGAGGAAATGGGAAGGAGTGGGAGCCGCTTTTCCACTGGGGCGTGAATGGCACGCTCAACATCCTAGCGGCGTTGTATATTTGGGGTTCATCTGGCTTGAGGGATCCGGACGTCCTCGCGGTATGGGAAGGGGCTGTGCACGATGCCGTGTATATGCTTGAAGGGCTTGCTGCTTATTACGAGTTATGGGGGAAACGGTTCTGATTTGACTTTTGCTTTTGTGTATGCAGTTAGTTGAGCTCTTTGAAATGCAATGTGTGATAATTGTGTTGAAAACACAGAGCATGAAAAAAAAAGGGTGTTGTAAAAAAATAAAAGTGGAGACTAAGAAAGGAAAAGAAATCTATAATGGCCTGAATGGGAGTCGAACCCACATTAAACGCGGAAATTGTTCCAGACCATCGCTTCAACCGGTGCGTTCGCTCTCACCATTAAGCTATCAGACCGTGAAAAATGAACGAGCAAGGAGACTGTATAGGGTGAGTGCCTGGTCTGCTTCACAAAAGAAGAAATGAAAGAGAAAAAAAAACATCTGAGTTGACCAATGCTAATATAAATATTGCTGCAGGCCAACAAGACGCATGTGAACGGAGTTGTGTGGTGGGCTCAAAAAGAGGAACTTCGGTGGGGGGAAAAAAAAATCGCCGAAGGAGGCGCGTCGAAAAGTGTCAACAAACAAGTGTAAATAATGCGTGAATCAACAATTACGCGTGAATTAACAGTACTTGAAAGGAACGCGTCCGCCAAGCTAGGAGCGCTAGCGTGGGATGACGTAGGGCGGAGCAAGCGGGCGGCAAGCGGGTAGGTACCGGGCGCAAACGGAAAGCTGATCGGGCCGAAGCGGGTGGATACCGGGCGCAAACGGAATGAGGACGAAGCGGGCGCGAACGGAAAGGTCGAATTCGGAGCGAGGCCGGGCCACGATCGGACGGAACATATCGGGAACGGGAAGGGAGCAGCGAGGAAGTGGGGCGTGGGAAATAGAAAATACCATCCCAAATAGGGTGGTAAGCAGTATGTATTAAATATGGGTTTTTCCGGTTCTCTAGTACTAATGTAGGTTCCCATCAGAACCTAAACACCTGCAAAGTGCGCCCGAGCGCCCCCCAGCCCCCAAATAGGCCATAAATGGCCGTTACTCTAATGTACCGCTGTAGCCGTGCAGATGGCTAGGACCGTGACGATAGAAAAGGGGTCCCATGGCTAGGACCGTGGTTTTTAGTCTATATATTAGGGCTATGGCTCGAAGCTACAATCTGTGTCTAGCTGTATGCCAACTTGTACCATTTCATATTCTGCAGTTCATTAGCAATAAATCATCCACTGAAGTCGTATACACACAGAGAGGCATGAAGTCAAGGCTTGGAACCAGTCTGGGGTCTCATTCCGAGCCAATTGGACACAGAACTTATTGTGGCTTAAGTTCACTTACCGTAACTTAAAGGCTCACTTTAGTCTCTCTTGACAGACTGACCACTCGTTACCTCGTTCTTCAGTCTGTTAGTTACCGCGCTATGATTACCGTAGGGTCGGGTTATTATGTAATGATGTGCGATGCTTGCACAAACAATCATCAGTTCGACGCGTTTTTGACGCGACTTTGAATTCATGCAAGCTTTTCAAGTTTTGGATTCTACTGCGGGTGGCTGAAGAGGTACCTTGGAAATTTTGCGGCTCATTCCGGCGACTCCATAATTCTATGCGCCTTGTTGGGGTGAATTCTGGTGGTGATGCGCTATTGCTGCATTGAAGTGCCACAGTCATCGAACCCTGAGCTCAGGCGACATTCATCACCATTTCGAAGATGATTTGTTTCTGAATCTTTGCCTCAATGGCTCAGTGTCGTCGACGACGCGTCCAAGTCGCGTCTCACCGCCGTACACGTGACATTCCCCAAAAGGCAACTTACATAATAAGGCGACCCTACGGTAACACGGGCGCGGTAACCAACAGACTAGGCTCACTTACTATTGATCCCAATGGGTCCCGAAATGCACAATGGCTCACAAAATGAAATTCCATGCCCTCAATTCTCACTCAATCCCTCCGGAGTTTTTTGTCAACTCTACCTAGAATACTCCTGTATGTTTACCTAAAATAACTAAGCAATCGACGAAGAGGAACGAATTGAATTGTTGTTGCAAGTCCATCAAGTCGAGTGATCTGAACTCTGTGCGACCTGCTCCGGCCTCCGAAGGCATGCTATCTCCCTGCAAAAATCTGAGGGTTGAATAGGAGCATTAGATAGGGCGTCCCTCTCCTCAGAATACTTTTCCGGTCCCTTGTTGTTGCAGTACGAGGGGAAGAAGGGTTGGGTCACACAGTGTCACAGTGGGAAATGATGTCACGTATTCGTCACACCTTCTGTGTTTTTCGTTCATATTGCAACCAGTCCCCTCTGCAAAAACAATTTGAGGCGGCAGAATGATTTCATTTTGCACCGGACATGCTCTTAATTTTTCACGGGGCTTTACGATGCTCTCAGAGGCCAGAGCATGTTGGACAGAGTTCAGATCACTCGAGTTGATGGACCGGTAACTACAATTCGATGCCTTCCCCTCAGTGTATTGCTTAGTTATTTTACATAGGTATAGAGGAGTACTATAGATATGTAGCGCACAAAACTCCGGAGAGATTGAGTGAGAATTGAGGGCATGGAATTTCATTTTGTGAGCCATTGTGCATTTCGGGACCCATTGGGATCAATAGTATTCGCTGCAGTTAACTGAAAGGAACAGATGAAGGTGAAAGTACCAATGCACGACACCAGTTCGACGACATTCAACGGCGCCTTGAACTTCATCAAGTTGTTTGTGCTGATATTTCGAGAGGAACGCGGCGAGGTCTGACGTGTGTATCATCTATCGTGCCAGTGTTATGTCTGTCTCCGCCGCCCAAATTCTAACCCAACAGGACAATGGTTGCACTTTAGCCAACAATGGAAATGCCGTTGACATCTTTGATCGAATCAAATATCTCCTTCTTCCTGCGCCCACCATGGACGACGAGGAGAAAGGCAAACAAGGTACGATACCGGTCAATACGTGCGTACGCTGGGCTAAAAATTAGTAGCTGCCGACCCGAGCAACGAAGCAGCTGCCGCGAAGCTCTGGGCGATCTATGTTTCCGAAGCGGAGAAATACGATAAAGGGCTGGTGGAGAGCTGGAAGAGCGACATGGACGGGATTCTCATCTTCGTGCGTCGTCTAAATGAAGTCACTGCAGTGTCCCTACTCATCGGTCACTGGAAGGCCGGTCTTTTCTCCGCCAGCTTAACGGCGTTCCTCATCGAAAGTTACAAGACGTTATCGCCGGATCCTGCCGAGCAGACCGTGCTGTTGCTCGCGCAGATATCGCAGCAGCTGTTTGCAGGGATGAACGGAACGAGTTTAAACCTCACATCCTCTACACCTTTCAAACCCCTACCGACCTCCATCGTTTGCAATTTTCTGTGGTTCATCAGTCTCGGACTGGCCCTCACCTCGGCGCTCATTGCGACTCTCGTCGAACAATGGGCACGCGACTTCATACACAGAGCCGACATGCGTTCTGCTCCGCTCATTCGCGCCCGGATATACTCCTTCCTCTACTACGGTCTCAAGCGATTCAAGATGCACACCGTCGTGGAAATTATACCCCTGCTCCTGCACGCCTCCCTCATCCTTTTTTTCGCGGGACTGGTCGCATTCCTCGTCCCCGTAAATATTGCGGTTACCGCTCTGACAGGATTCCTTCTGCTCATCATCACCGCCGTCTATTCCATCTTTACCCTCCTTCCGCTGTCGCATTTGGACTCGCCCTATCGAACACCGCTGTCTGGGGTCTTCTGGCGCTTGCAACAAACCTTGATATCCTTTTCCTCTCATAGGCATCCGGTATCAACCGATACGCCTCCGGGTCCCCCAGACGAGAAACACAATATCGTTGATTCCATCTTCCGCGAAGCGACAGAGATGTCCGAGGAACGCACTGCTCGGGACCAAAATGCCCTCGCGTGGACTGTTAAGTCCCTCAGCGATAGCACCGAACTTGAGCCATTTATCGAGGCGATCCCCGACGCATTGTGGAAGGGCGATCAAAGACGCTACCTCTACGATGACCACATGCGAATATTGGTGGATCACCCCGATGTGCGACTACTCGACCGCATCTCTGTCTTTCTGTCTGACTGCCTTGGTGGCCATCTCTCCGAAGAAACCTCTAACCGCCGCCGAATAATTTGCTACAAGGCGATATGGGCACTTGGCAGCTTGTCCGAGCCGGATGCACATTTTGACCAACCTTTTCCTGGCATCAATATCAGGTTACCTGATCGGGACAAACCCGACGCAAACGTTCAGCATCATTTGATATCTGCGGCAGCGATGAGCGACTGGTCAAATTTCCAGGCCGCCCAAAGCGTTGTCGCACGCAGCTTGGAGCTTCTCGCGGCATGTAACTCACAGTCTGCGACGTCCTCATGGACAGTTTCACAACAGCGCAGCCTTATGTCCACGCTCCAAAAGCTTCGTTCATTAACACGAGTATACTGTGACAGGGTAATGCATGACTTGCAATGGCCATCCAACGCTCAGAATTCCCTCCCGAATCTCACCCGCATAAACCAACTCATCAGCGACATCGAGTCACTGCCCCTGCAAATACTGATGGACTACTTGCAACATGCTGTACAATGGAACTCGAAATCACCATACAGATACCAATTCACAACGCTAATCCTGTCTCCGCCAAAGAAGCCGCTCTCGACCAATCAAATTCTCACCCTGCGAGATAAATTAGATATTACAGCTACACGCTTAGTATTACGCAAGACGGAGCGAAATAACCCGGAAAACGATTGGCTGAATCGCACGATTGCAATTTTGATCTCATACTGGGACCCGCTGGCCGAAGCCCCCACCTTTCCTCTAAGCTTGATCCAGTATATGAACGATGACGACGATCTCAGTTGGACCGAGTTGGGTTACAAGTTCCCCGCATCAGCGTGGTCTTCCGTCCCACCTACCATTCTTCACGGACCCCACTGGAAAATACACAATTTTTGGCCGGGCGCAGTAAACAAGCACGATTACATCACCCAACTGGAGGAGACCTTGACCTTTGTATGGAACCTCCTTTGTACTCGGGCCCCGTCCAACCAGACAACTGCAGAGGCAATACTCGACGCTGTTGTCCAATCGAAATATGTCCCGTCAACCCCAGCTGTCGTTGCCATGTCTAAGCAGGCACTTTTATCGGCGATGTTTTCCGGTTATTTGGACACCTCCCTCTCAGATTGGACCCAGAAATTTTGGCATCCGATTTTACCATCAGATACAGGTGTTCAACAAGAGGTCAACGACAGTCAAAGCCGAGAGGCATGCGACGAATCTGAATCCGCACAAGAATCTGTTCCAGATTTCATCGCAGACAGATGGAACGAGGGCCTCCTTTTTATATTGACTGA